TGAAAAAGAATCGCGCAGAATGGACTTTTTGGGATGGTATGAAGATGCCGTTCGAGGAGAGGATGTAAAACGCGCGGGCGACGATATCATTGGGGTTGAGAAAATTTTACTGCGACCAGGTCTTTTTGCCCTTTTCTCTTTCGCGTCCTTTCTTTTCCTTTTTAACATCTCGTATAGACTCTTTCGACTCTTGCGTTCGACTGGTTCGGTCTCATCTGTTCTCGCCATTGGATAATTAAGTTGTGCAGACGGATACACAGGAAAACTATCTCGGTTCCGGCTTGTTCGCAACGGAACACCGCCCTCTGCTTGCCAGTTACCGAGACTTTTTTCATAGGGTCGAGCAAAATTATTAAATGACAAATGTTCGGGATCGTCTATGGAAATAGTCACGTTTTGGTTAATGTCGGATTTTGTGGGGTCATCTTGTTGGTGGGATATTATTTGGGGACTAATGCGCGAGCCGAGCTGGTTAACGCTAGTGATGCTCGCTCGTAAGAACTGGTGGACGCTTGCGCGAAATGTATCTGATGCACGCTTCTTGCCCTTTACGGATATGACACCGGATTGTCTATTGCGAGACGGATCATGGGTGAAAGGGGAAGCTACTTGCAGAAATCCCGAGTGCTGAGAATTTCTTTGTTCAATCATCGCATGCGATGGCTCCCCTGTATAATTTTCCGTGTATGTGTTGCTCAAATCCTCGTTTCCACTGTTCTTTCCATTTCCTCCATGTTCGCTCAAGACTGAAGCCTTTTTTGGTGGATATACGATTGAGAATTGATCCAAAACATCATTTGCTCGATTGACACATGGGCTTGATACCCATCGGAGAGCCCAGCATCTTTGTGCTTCAGCCGTGGTGGTGAAGGCAAAAAAGGTGATATAAGGAAAGAGACACGTGAGAAAGTCGGGATAAGCTGAGTAAGTGGGTAAATCATTCAAGTTTATGATTTGGATTATGCGTGTCCCTGCGAAAAGGAGGAAAAGAAGAGTGTGAAAAAGAAGGTAAGATGCGATCTAAAAGATTGTGCAAGAAAAAAAAAAGTTTAACGTTATATGAATAATATATATACCTGATAGTATTAATAAAGTTATCGAGTTTAGTATTCCGAAAGTTAAAGTTCGGATGTGCATTTCGATTTCATCAGCGAACATTCCTTGTCTTTTACCCTTCCAGAACTGATATAATGCAAATGCATTTATGCCTACAAATAGTAAAAGCAAACGAGGAAGCAAACATGAGTCTCGGAATGTAGCGTGTAATATAAGTCAAACATGTTATAGGTTTGTTTGTTTGCAAGTTTACCTGATAGTACACATGCACCAAGACCGGAAAGTGATATTGTGAGGAAGACTCCGAGGCTGCTACATGTTATGAAGGAAAAAGCAGTTTGTAAAGATGAGGTTTTTGGAAGAATTGAGGGTGGGAAAAAAGTGTGGCTCATTTCCATTTGTAATCATGCACCACCCTCACACACATACACACACACACACAACACACACGCATGGGGGTTCATTACTTACGTAGCAATAAGGGGTTCAGTAATCATGCAAAAATAATTCCATTCTTCAATACTTCCGCTACGAGCAGCCACAACACTAGCGACTGTAGTTCCCGATACTGGTAAGAGCCAAGTTCCCAGCCAAAACCAAGTCGGCGTTTCAATATCCTCTCCCTTGAATATGCTCCACCACATCGAGAATGTTATCGATAGTGTCCATATCCCAATGGCTACCAGACAGTAGGATACGATCATGCCCTGAAAGATACATAACTCGGCATTTGCAGCGTGTCCATTGGAAATGAATGCTATGGAGCATGTGACTAATGCAAATATGACGGTGGTGAGAGAATAGTAGGCGATACTTGAATAGTGTGTGTTGCGACGGTATATTATAAAAGTGAATAGAGATAGGGGAATTGCGATTATGTGGAGAGCATAGTAGGCTATGGCGTCCGGCGCTAATGGCATTACTTCCTTTTATTTCTGTTATTTTCGCGCGAGGTTTGATACTTTTGAGTCGATTAGAATATATTACAAGTTTGTTAAAGATCTATTATTATTTTTGACGAGAGACTTTTTTTTTTAGTTGTGTTGTAGTTGTATGGCAAGTTTCGTCGTTTATATGTTTCGTTTATAATGTCGTTCGTAAGTGTGTATCAAACCTCTCTTTTCTCGTCGATCGATTACCTAAATGTCCCATCTAGGGCCAAGCGACTCGACGTTCAAAGAAGACGGTATTTAGGGAGAATGAGGGAATTGTGTGTCTGGTCGGTGAATACTCGATTTGAAATTTTGGGGGGAAATGGTAGGTTTTAATACTATTTAAGTAGTGTGGGTACACACAAGTTAAACCCTTGTCACGAGATAGATTAAGGACGCTTTAAAAATTATCGGAATATTTTTAATAAAAAGACGGAGTATGGAGATTGATTGAAACGTCGGACGCACAATGATATGAAAGGGCTAAATGCATGTCATAAATGGCCCATTTCTGATATTAATATATGTATATCAGTAAGCTAAACTGTTGGTATCGGCAAAGGTAGAACATAGTAAGCATTATTTATACTGCTGCGCACTTATTAATGATGAGACATTTACAATTAGATGAACTTGTCGATTGTAATTATTCACTGTATAAATTAAAAGGATTTGAGTACAATTTCAGATTTCACTGTTCCCCGACAATGACTGAGCAATAACAAAAAATGAAACGATGTAACCGGATCACAAACTGTTCGACCGCATAGGCATGTGTCCATTTTAGACACAATACCTATCTATATCTCTACTTGTATTACACTGATAACCAAACCCTCTCAACCTCCTCCCCCGTACAGAACAAACCTCTTTGGAATTTGCAACGCCCAGTTTATAATTTCTGAACTGTTGAACCGTTAGAGTACTCTAATTTTGTATATTAAATACATATTCATGCATTTTGAATAATTACATTATCCTATCTATGCCTTTGATGTATAAAACGAGACATCAATAAGAGCGTATGTACTCATTATAGGAATAATCAATTACAAATAGGGAATAAGACATAACATATATGTAAGCATTCCAAATATCTACCAGTGTGTTAGTTTCCGACTAGGTGATCTCTAACACCAATTTTTGTCGTAATACATCGATGGTGGAGCCAAGAGTAACGTTGTGGCTAAATGACAAACAAGATAACCGCTTTTTGATGAAATTAATTTCGATTTCATATTCGACTGAACGAAAAAGTAAATTATTTTTGCACGAACGATAACACATAACCATAACATAACAATAAAGTAAAGCCTCATTTGTAAAAAATCTCTAGATCGATCGCCATGAAACCAACCAATTAACCGCGGACATGCACATTTGCACCGTGTTGTCAATGCAACAGCAGATAAGCAAAATCATAAATATTAATATGGATAACATGGGATTGTTATGGTAGACTGGGATGCTGACTATTCGGCAAACAGCAGATGTCCGAACATTTGTGTAATACTTTAAACATAGATAAGGACATAGATAACGCATGAACATATGTCCCTGTCGGAATATAAACATTTGAACATTCGAAGAACCCTGGGAAGTGATGGGTGGACGGGTCGGCTAACGACAATATAGTTTGAAACAGTACAGATGTAAATATGTCGCACGGCAAATTCTCAATCTCTTAATTTGGTATTAAAGAAAAAAAATGAAAATCACAGACATAAGATTCGAAAATGTTGTCGTTTGTTTGACTTTTGACATTTTTGACAATGTAACCCATTACAAACTATATCTATTTATGGTTCCGGACACTTTCCCCCCGCAAATAATTCGATATTATTTTCAAAGTCACTGTATGCACGCTTTTTTAGCTCCGATGAATTCAAGATACGGAAGACAATCACATATCAAATACAAGCATATCAATCCATGTATGGTTAATTAATTACGTCATTGATATCTGTTGCTAATAATAATAATCAAATATCCTTAGACAACTCGGTTTACTCAATCCCGCTGCTGGTCGCAATACAAGATTAAAGCAGGAAATTTATGAAACCAAAAACTTTTTCTTCCCCCCCCCCCCCACGAAACGGATAAAAAAGGTATATTGTGAAACGGAAAATCCTCTTTTTGATTGGCGTAAAATCTGGTTCGCATACAATTGCATTTTTGAGAACGAATATGAATTGTTCTGAAAGTTGAAGGCTTTGTGTATGTCGCGGTCTTTTTTAATATTTATAATTAACCCAAACAGAATATGATGACCCTGCATTTTAGAGCTTATTGAAAGGGTTATTTAAAAATAGGCCGAATGATTTCAGAAAAAGGGTATAATGACCGTCATGGATAATAGCAAATCGCATTCATTGAATATTGGAAATTTAAACAAATGTGTTTGATGAAATATACCATTATGAATATAATAACATTTGCGCAAAAGCTACTCGTTTACATGTTTATTGACCTCTGAGTATGGGTAATCACCATACAATGGTGCATGCTGTGTTGGGATGTACGATACATTTGAGAGTTATACAAGATTAAGGGAACACATATTGTTAAGTATCACTACGTTAAGATATAACTTTATTACTGTCACTGGGAGCAAGCGATGAATACTCAAATCGCGTTTGCAAGGTACTAAGACGCTGAACAATCTCAGCGTGTTTTTTACATGTCACCCACCCATCCAGATTCCTTATCCTCTGGGAAAAAACCAAGCATTTACAACATGCCAGTCATCTTGACCTAAAGTTCTCACATCCGAATCTTGTAATCGGCCTCCACAGGCGTTCACTAACTCTCTTATTAAGATTGGAATAGACATGAGTTAACAAATCTATTGGTTTGGTGAGTTTGAAACAAATTGCGCGGCGCTACAAGTATAAGCGTACCGCGGGTGCATAGGTGGCCCAGTAAGAAACGTTTTCCGTAACCGTGCAGGCTTATAACCATTGAAGGCCAAGCAAGCAATTCTTAATATGTCAAATTTCAGTTCTATGTAAATAAGCATGGGGTATGAGTAATCATTACCAGTTGGCACGTTAACGATTACATTCTTATCTTTTTCTTTTGCGGGTTGTTCTAACTTATGATTCAAGCCAAGAGCACAGCGCTAAGCTTAGAAAGATCAACTCAACTCTAATTTCTCGTCTACAATACAAAACAAAAAAAAAGAAAGGAAAACGATTAACCACCGATAAGTTAATAGAGAAAAAAAGGCGCACAATATTAACAACAAAAAGAAGGCGCAAATTACTCGAAAACAAATTTGCCGTAGCCAATTTACGAATTCATTTAATCACGAGCGCGAATTGACCAAACTGACGGAAATGATAAACAATCCTCTTGTTAAAAAAGATAAATTTTTAGCAAAGGTAGAGGATTTCATAATTTAACTAAATTGTTTAATTTACGAGCACCAACAATAAAGAATGTCTGATTAACTATAATGACTGCCGTCCAAATTGCAACTTTACCAATAAATAAAAAGGATTGCAATTTCTGGTGCTATCCTTTTCTCATAACCATTGGAATTTTGTTTGGAAGAAAAGTGTCCTACTTGGTGGAAAAATATCTTTATTAGATCAGCACATTACACATTGGAAAGGCATTGCTATAACAGCTTATGCCGCCGGTTTGTTCTACATTACGTTCTTTGGTGAAATTTGTATCTGAGACAACAAGAAAAACGTTGTTTTTATTTGTCATCATTATTATATCTTTTCACGGAAATCTTTTTCCCGATTTGCACAAGTTGGTAATATTTTTATTCATTTAAAGGAAAAGTCTGAGAGTCGCATGCTCGCTGCAAAAAATACGTATCTTGATTTGTTATACATTTTACTATAGCTTTTAATTATCGTATTTCCTTTCCATGCTTTTACTGGGTGGATGATCCGATGTTTATCCGACATTACTGCAATGAAAAATTTGACAATCGTCACATCGTCGATTTTATTAATCATTCCTTTCCGAACCCCCCACTTTATAGATTATACGTCTGGAAATAATGCAAGTTTAATTTTGACTAGAAAGCACGCGCGCCTCGACAATCTTCGGGGTCATACGCTTTCTTTGAGAAGCGATCGACGATTCGAGTAAACCATTTTAGTTACATCCGGCTATACTTAATTAATCTTTATTCCAAAAAGTCGAATTCGGTAATATTTTCCAAAACTGAATATTTACCCCGGAATCACCTTAAATGCAATCTTCAAACAAATATATATTTTTCAACCAAACTATTTCTCACATGGGCATTTTATTTACGGTTTGTCACATTATCAATCTTGTGACAAAATACACAATAAGTGTAAAGTTTGTCAACTACATGTACATGTAAAGAGTGGAGTATACAATTAGTTATTGCTCATTATATCAACAATTATTTGCTTTATATTGCATTACGTTGCATATATTATTGTAATGCGATATAAGTGTATTAGTATAGTATAGTGTATTGTATTAAATCGTTTGTACTCATGTCGGTATTATAATTAGAAATATTCAAGAGACCACTTTCACGTATGTACCAGGAAACTGTTAAATAATAAAAAAAAAGTATTAACGTTGATTTCAAGATGAATGTATTCTTACACCACAAGTTTATCTCTTTGTTTCTTCTTACCTCTCCGTATTGTCCGTTTATCTCTCCTTCCCACCACTCATTTTGATTCCGACTGTACTTTGTCACTCTAATAATTTCTCCCTCTTTGAATCTCAAGTCAACTTCATCAGAGCCGTTATAATCATACAATGCACACGCATACACATGTTTTTCGTCTTCATGCGATTCTTTGGTATATGCCCGATCAGGTACACGAATGACGACTTCTGTGGGCTGAGATTTAGCTGTACTATTAAACGTATCCTATTCAACGTAAAAAAAAAAATGGTGAAAAACCACGTTTATTATGACAGCAAGCAGTTGATAAGCATGGATTTTCCGTAAATTTATAAAATGCGAGTTTTTTTCAATAACTTACGCTGTGTCCTAGCATTGACTGACGAAAGGTAGATTGACTGTTTCGGAAAAAGTATTGACTGTTTCGAATCATGTAGTGACTGTTCCGAATAAACTTTTCAAGCTTGGTTATGTTTGATAATCCTCTGCCCACACTTATTTTGTAAACAATGTATGAAAGACCAACGTATATGCATCCATTAAAAACCGTAAATACTCTAACGGCACGAGCGAGTTTAGTGGCCAGTTTGGCGGATTCGACATCTGCATCCTTGGCAGACAATTCCAGATGTTCGTTCAAAGTACCACTCTTGTTCTCCAACAGTGTCATAGACATAAAGGCAAGAAACCACGAACAGGCTAGTATACGCTGCGTCATGTATACTAATTTTGAGTATCCCAATCGTCGCATGATTACTGGAACCATGTTACCGGTGCTGAACATTCCGGATATGACGGCAATAACTGTCGTAAGAAGCAAGTCGGTTGGATGTAAAAAGTCATAGTCCCTTTGCGTATGTGATGCCCATCCAGCCAGCAAAATTAGAATTATTATAGAGAATAGAGTCGCTACCGCATTGAGCGTATTTAGAACGAAAAATTTGTCTTCCCACATATTATTAAAAGTTTTGAGTTGATAGAAAAAAAGCGAGAGGCGGCAGGTGTGGGTTATATGATGGATGGCGTCGAGGTAGAAAATGTGGTGTTTAAAAAAATCTCTTAATAAGTAAGAGAAATGACACGCAATTAAGCTAGACGCAAAAGGTCTATGTTGGAGGAGTGGTTAGTTGCTTTGGATACTGAAGCAGGTTTGAGACAGTTATAGCACGTTGAATACAATCCCGCAAAGTGCACGGTCATTTCATGTTACCCATTTTATATGCAAATAAATCTGGTGATTCAGAAAAGGATGTACATGACATTTGTCTTGGATAGGTGGGTATTTTTGGTGAGTAAATGACTAGCATAATGTGTCATATCACATACTAGTGGAATTAGCGCGATTTTTTCTTCATATGTTTTATGATGTTGCATAGTAAAGTAAATTGACCGATAGAAAAATTCCATATGTGGTACATCTCCCCGATGTCTTTGCACATGTGAAGATCGTATTACATAATTTAGGCTTTGATAAAGTTGTCAATTATGTTAACAGCATGTATAAAAAAGTAATCTACTGGCAAGTAAAAACAAAAAGTCTAGTATTTATTTAATGTTGTATTTACATTAATCCGCTATTTACAGTAGACGTCGATCTGTTCGTAAAATATCTTTTATTCTCAAGTGACGTCAGTTCAGCGGCTACTATTATTATTTGACTACTTCATATGACTGTATTATGATTTCTAAAATTTACTATACTTTTTCGATGATATTTAAGTAGATCTTTGCATTTTACATCAAGAACTTACTTGATAATATTAATTCTTGTCTGTTTGATATTTCTTGTACATACAATGATTACGCTCGATGGAACGCAATCCAAATGAAGCATCATTACTTCACGCGCGACTATACAAAATTCACTATAAACATTGGTGTTAGCCACATGGAACAAATGAGATGCTATCTGATTGACTAAACGATAACACACGATATGATATAGTTCTATCAACAGATCGATGGCATCGAGAAATCACATAATCATGTCTTGACAACATACTTGTAATATTTTATATAATTGATTTACATTAAATGTTACGGTTTTACATATACTGTAATCAGTAATGGTCGTATGCAATATTATTACCTGATTACAGGATAAAACCGTATTATTAATTCACTCTGATTATGACGATCCCGAATGAAAAGTTTATTAATAAATTTAAGATAGCAAATGTGTGCTTGCGCTTTTCTGCACATGGTAATACGCATGCCATTAGCGCCAAAATTTTATATAGAAAATTACTGTTCAATCTAAACATATAACCTGCATCTATAAATGAATACTAATACTATTGTTTTGATTTTCATTGAAACCGTACTAGTATGAGACTCAGGCCATAGTCATAGTAGCATAACCGCCTAATCGTATAACTAATAATGCGCTATCAAGATATGATATACGAATATGTAAATTTCCAAACGAACAATGTAACAATTCGGGATATTTTTAAAATCAGTAACACTATTATACGTATCAACGTTAAATTTGTCATGGTATAAATATAAAGTTATGACGAAAATTTTAGATTGCGTTTGACATATGTCATCTATGCATTCCTAAAAAGGCATGCATAATGTTAAAGAAGGTTGCATTGTTACATACTCGTAACTTACTTGATATTCCGACAAACCAAGCCGACATCATTGTATTATTGAAACGTAGGAGCAATTTTTGTAATCTCATTGTAAGACGGAGTTTCACGAGTAATTTTGTTCTTTGCGTGTAGAACATGTAAAAACAGCCACCAACATTCTCACGCACGGATAAACCACATATTTTGCTTGCGCTACAGCCATGTGTTTTAACAAAAGAGTGAGGCCTTCTAGCAGAGAATTGAAGATCACAGTTAACTGCAATAACCGATTAGGCATGTAATGCAACGAATATGGACAATCGTAATATAAAGTATGAGTAAGCATTGGCCAATGTTTTCATTCTGCAAAAACAAAATGAAAGAGTCTTGTTACGTGTGATGTCACTTAACGGAAAGCCCGTTGACAGATAGAGCGACTGTTTATCACAAAAATAGGGGTGTAAATAAATATGTAAGGTAATAAGGATAAGTCACATAAGAAGCAAGACACATGTAAGCCTCCGCCGACTATTGGCGTCAGATTGTTGACATTATGGTAAGACAAGTGTTGCATGTCAGGTTGTCCGTTCGGAATGGACATATGTCGGTCTCGAACAGGTATTATGTCAGACGGCCCATTCCAAATGGACATATGTGTCGGGTTGAAATCATAAAGACGTGAAAATTCTTAGAAAAAGGAGTAAAAGAAATAAAATTTCTTCGAGGCAAAAAAAAAATTTTTGCAACAGGTCAACAAAACACCATAAAGTATTTAATTAGTAATACGACATTAACGTTACTACAAACATTGCTGTATTGACAATTATGAGGGTGGGCAGTTCAAGTTGCAAATGACAGCAGCTTTGCGACAAGCGCATCGAGCGTTGAATAACGAGTCTTACAACTACGTCAAATTGACCAAGCGTTGAGTCAAAGCGCCTTTATCATTTTGACAGAATGCTTCGAGTTACAGGATACGTTAGTAATCGCCTTTCTATTTGTAGACAAATGCAATTAGTAGAATTGACTTCACGAAATGGGCTGATAGTGTTTCACATTCTCGAAGCTGTGAGTAAACATCGCCTGATCTGACATATCATTGTGGAAGAATGCTTCGAGTTACTGAATACGTTAGCGAATAGTGTGCGGGAACATCAGTAATCACCGATCGACATACCACTGACGTAATAGACGTGGTCATTGTGAAGATATGCTTTGACTGACAGAATACGTTAGCGACAATCCTTCTATTGGTGCAGGATGAGAGTAAACACCGATCGACGTATTATAAAAAAAACAACCAAACAATTCTCCTATTCGTGAGAATACAAAATTCACTCAATTTATGGTATTTTACTTAACCATCTGGGTTTAAGCTTAATGTGGTGACCTGTCAACAGAGTTTGGCCTAAATACGGACGGGTCGTGTGAAATTAACGGATTTGCAGTTTCGAATTACTACCATTACTATAGAGGATTTGATTTAAGCGATAAACATAATGATAAAATAGTATGTTATTGTGCATTGGCTACCGACCGCTTGATGAGTTATCAAGCAAGTTGATTCGGTAAAATTGGTTTTGTGGAAAGAATTTGTCCTAAAATTTGAATATATGCTACGCAATCATACAATTCGACGGTTATTCTATGAATTAATCAATGCTATGCGCACGCTTTGCAAAGTCTTCAATTACATCCACTGAATGAATTGTTTTTGGCAAATATTTGAAAATAATTCACACGACTCTTCCTCGATTACATATGACAGCAACAAAACGTTATGAAGTACGTTTAACTGTCACACGCGACGGGCAGTAATTTGTTACGTACCGTGAGGTAAGATTCAAGTGTATACGAACAATATAATGTAATACAAATAGTAATACCACAAGTTATATAGATTATTTGTTTTTTTAGAAATTGGAACGAAATATCTTGAAGCTGAGGGTGTTAAAACTTACAAACGCTAAGATAGCAACAAACCCAGTTGTTTGTACGCATGTGGGGTTCATATCGTAATGTCAATAAATACCGTTATATAACGTTGCTCCCTGATTGTCTTTATCATTCCAATCTGACATACAACATATCCATGTTTCTTTTTTGTATGATAAATTTCGGATTACAAGAGGATAACAGTCGCTCCTAACCGCAAACAGGAAGCAACATTAATTTTATTTGAGACGTTTGTTCAAACAAAAACTTTGTTGTACGCATCGAATGTCAAGTATTCCTCAAGAGTAGTTTGTATTAACTGAAGCCAAACAGTTACATTGGTCAAACTCGTGTATCAATCGATAAAGTTACGGAGATCGAGACACAATTTATTCCAAAATGAGAAAGATTACGAAATAGGGACATTAAAAAAAACAGAACCTTTGTTATAGTCAAATTTCGTTATACCCGGGTTTCGTCATATCCCGGTTCACTGTGGGATATGCACGGGCGTTCCTAGTATGGGATAATCTACTTGGCGTATTTTCGCTTTCAATCACGTAATCGCTCTTCTTGGCAAATTTTATTAATTTTTCTTGGTTAAAATTTAATTCCCCGGGTTTAGCTAAGTTTTAAAGTATCTAAAAACACTGTATAAAAAATAACGGTGCAAAAACGCGAATTGTACATAAAACTGTAGCGTAGCCGCACGTTAATCACGTTACTTGAGTCTAAAAGACCAGTTTGTTAATACTAATACGTTTTGACATAATAAATTTATCACGTGAAGCCGAATAATAAAGAAACCAAATTCAGGTCAGCCCAATTTTTCGTGTTTTATTTGTGTCGAAACGGCATTTCAGTTGCCGAGAAGATTATATGCAACAGATTGGCCAAGTTTATCGAACTTGTTATTTAATAGGAGATGGCGTTACTAATAACTGACCCCAAAAGCCCTTCATACTGGCTTAGGAGTAATGGAAAAAGGTTTAAAATGCTATTCCCGGCGGTGAATTTGAAGGGTTTGAAGAAAATGTTTCTTTTATTTTAAGGCATCTTTGACACTTTTTTTGGCGAAGAAGGCTATTTACGAAGAACACATGCTGCGAGAAGTAAATGAGAACCAAGAAAGGGCGCGAAGACGTTTTAATTAATTATCATACCTCATCATAAACTTGTGTATATGCTGTACTACTGTTTTTAGAAAGCTAAAATATTGCGTAAGAGAAGTATACGAGTAAAATAACGACCAACTGAGATAAAATGCGATATTGACATGTTTTATTGGATAGCATAGTAAGTTTAACGTTTAGTGTACACGGGTCATGAGACTGCTCTAAAATTTACTAGTAAAACATATAAAAACTCTTTTTTTTTGAAAATCTCTCTTGTCTGCAAACACTATGTAAGTGATAATAAATTTTATATGGCTTTGAAAATAATTAATTGTACTTTTAAAAAAAAATAATAACAAAAACGTTAATGATTATCATCATTAATCTCACATATAACAGGTATTGTGTTAGAATATGAAAGGATATTTTTATATGTATAGCATATAATTATCATTTTATTACACTATGTCTAGCTACAACTTTATTATAATAATGTGTTAAATTTTACTATTATTTTTTTCAAACAACCCAGTCAATTAGTTTCAAAACTATATAAAAATTATTGCCGGTTACATGGTGTTTGCAGACAAGAGAATTTTTCGAAAAAAGGGTTTTTTATATGTTTTACTAGTAAATTTTAGAGCAGTCTCATGACCCGTGTCAGGGGAGTGTACATGTATCTACCAACAAGAACGCGATACCCAACCTTTGATACAGAAAGATTCAACCTGCCACAACATAAACGTCAAAGTATTATATTTGAATAAGACGACGGTCGTTTAACAGACACGAATAGTTATAACGACTCTATGTTGCTCGATAAACTTGATAACATCTTTTGTTTGACACAGTAATCGTAATACGCCTTGAATCGAGGGATAATATATCGGATTTCTCTCTCGGCCTCACCATTTTGAAAACTCATTCACCGAGAGCTTCGTAAATCGATATTATGTATGCACGTTATTGATATTGTTTTGATCATAGACTAAAAATATCAGAGCGGATCCTAATAATAGAATTTTAAATTGCCAAGCCATGCATGTATTCTCTTTGTGTTCATCGTCAAGTCACGTAAAGAACAAAGGTGGTACGGCAGTGCTAATGATGGAAAAATTACAATGAACCGCTTTTCGATGTGTGATTGAAGAATTCATGCATACGCCACCTCCTAAGAGTTTCGAACTCCAAACAGATGCACAAAGAAGATGCTTTGGAAAACAACAAAAAATAGATCAAATAACAGAGATAAATTTCTTAGAGCGTACAAAGCGGGGGACATCAGAGAGAATGATATCCTAATATGCAAATAAACGTAGTCTTTAATCGTATTTCGTGCGTGTCAATAGCGATTACAATAATTATGATGCTTGTGTTACCAGAAGGATAATAATACAGCGACCTGTGTATATGTATTGTTTTAAGATTTCCTTTTTTTATTGTGTACACTGTTGTGCTAAAGAACAATCATCGAAAATATCAAATCAATAATGAAATGAACAAGTTTTCAATGAGCATAACGTAACACTTATTTGTCTGTTGCGAATCGACAAAGTATGAACATTGTCATAACATATTAATACTTCAATTGAATAAATTATATTGTGCTAATACAAAATATCGTAGGAAAAGAAAAGCAATCGCAGAGGTGAATAAGCTTGTCGGCCTGTTAGTTCGTTAACTTTTTAGATGCAAGATTCCATGTCCAATCTGCTATTTGGCTAAAAGTTTATTCATTTCGCAGCATATACAACTCATAGAAGCATGCATCATGGAAAGCATTTTACGAGTCTGTTACACTTTTAAGTAATTACAGTTTATGAAATAGTGTTGACAGACAAAACTGTCTCAAGCAACGTGTGGTTTTGTTAAAGCGTTGAAGGACCAAAGAGAGGGTCAACGAAATCAAAAACACATTCACAGCTTGATTGCATACAAAGTGAATTGTATACAACAGACTTATCATAAAATTCAAGTATTAAATCATCTCAACAACCACAATCCATCGTCCCGTTTGGGGTTCTTTCTCTAATTTATTTAACTATAGGAAAGTGATAAGATTTTAGGACATCTGCATGGCGGAGCGATTTCCATATTTAATATCACATGTGTATCTCCGCCTGGACTGAGATAATCAGTAACCGAGTTTTGAATTAAGAGATTGTTTCAAAATGAGGTACAACAGATATACAAAGTAATAAAATTTGATGCAGTATAACCATGTTGTGTCAGAGGTTGAAATCTGTCTCCATTCTGAAGCCACAGTAATTATCAAACCAACTTTTGTTATATTTTAAATTGAGAATAACGCTTTGTATTAGTATTTATGGTAAGTTTGTCCAATTGTTTTGAGTTAATACATAAAAAATTTTTCTGATTCGTTAGTCCATATTTTTGGATATTCGTTTCTTATGTTAATGTCCGTAATGGGATATCAATTGACCTGCGCACTTGTCAATTTTCTGAAAGTCATTGTAGCAAAAGAGTTGCCGAGATAGAGCATGTTGTAGTACACATATAGATTGTTGTTGTTGTTGTTGTTGTTGTTGTTGTTGTTGTTGTTGTTGTTGTTGTTGTTGTTGTTGTTGTTGCTGTTTGGAACATAAAAGGAATATACGGCGTAAACAAAAACGCAACATGCAATGAGTTGATGAGAATTAGCGATACTCATTCATTTATGCTCTGCGATTGTTATTCTAGAGTATGACTTGGATGCGATGATTGGTTTAATTTGATATATTAATATGGGAATAGTTAATGTTTACCGAGGTTATTACAACGTACCCATTTATTACCAAACAAAGTTAAAAGCTTTACCCTAACAATCGCAAATTAAAACATGTGTGTATTACCCGAAATATACATTCTTAAAAGTCTAGTTTATCGTTACACGGATTTCTTTTTTCCCTCAAAGTAGTTTTCAATATGTTTGTGCGCCTGCGGTCAATGAGCAATGGTTGACAAAGCTACAATGTAATAAAAAATTTTTTCCATACATTCTGGACATCAAGTATAAGTCAAAAACAATCTTAGAATTTCACTATCATAACGTCAAGTGTACCCATTTACGATCGTGTGTATATATTATTTTTCTCATCTACATAGTCGTAGGTCCATATATTTCATGTAATTTGACGTCATACTTACCGAAAATCGACTTGCTGTTTTTTTTCTCGATATTGGCAGCATGGATGATCATATTACTTATTAAACAGCACCACTAAGCGGTAAGCAAAATACATTGTTGGTTTTGCAGAGTGACTCGCAATTTGATAGATACGAAAAGTATACTAATTTGTCTTCTCACATTTTGTTTTCAATGACAAACGTTTATATAATCCGGATTGTGAACAGGATTAATTTATTATTATTTTCTCTTTCTAATGATATAACAACCAACTAATAATTTTAGTTACTATAACACCATTATTAGTTAGACTAACCAGAGTCGCCCAGAAAGAAAATTCCAAAATTTTCATGAGCATAAATAACAATAAATAATAAATCTAACTAGTATACAAAGTCGCAATATATAATACATTATATAATAGAATATGGTATGATATCTAGGGATAAATACAAAAAAGTATCTCACGTTTCTGAAACTTGTTGAAAATAAAAAACACTTTCGTTCTGCTCAAATTCAGACATTGGCGTTGAAATTATCAAGTGTTGAGACGTTGTGAATAAATAAATTTCATCGATACATTGGAATTTTCGTAACGGTGTATTAATAAATTTGTTGGTTATTATAATAACGCGGTTGGTACTTCTTGTGCTAGCCAAGAAGTGAATCTTTGATATAATAAACTCAGTATTTTTATCTCTCTCGAAATATTTGCTCTAACAGATCATGTGAATAGCCGATAAGGTTTTGATTACAAGAAACCAAGACCGGTTTGGCATAAGAAGGACAAAAAATATGAGTAGTAAATTATGATCAGGCAAAGCGCCATGATCCCCTGATCCTTCCTCTGCTCAACGGGGCAAGTTTTCCGAAGGCTGCTGGGCTCAGATCAAGATCGTCTGGTTGGCAACCCTCACATCTGTCCACCATACGTACAAATATTGACTTCGATCCGAAGGTGACCTTTATACGTCTTCCGCAGAGAGAGTTATTATTTGGATTTCCACCAATTGTGAACTGGTCGTATAATGTATGAGAAACGGCAGCAATAAAGTCCGAGGCTTTGTTGAATCTTCCGCAGGCACCCAAACCGGGTTGGTAAAATGTAAGGTCACCTCGATGGGTACCAAAAGCCGGTGCTGCGTTAACGGTAGCGAGGAGGAAAGCAAGGAGGACCAGGAGAGTGTTGAGATTGAATTTCATTTTGTATTTCTAGTGTGAACGATTCGCTTGTTCTGTTGTCGGAATTGGAGTTTGGGGTTTTTATTATATTGTTGGTAGTATTAGTTGTTTTGTTGTGTTGTTCGAAAGTCGTAGAGCAAACACAGATCTACTGTGTTATGAATATTAGGATAGTATTAGAGAGACACTGCCGTGGGCGGGAAACACACAGCTTCTGAGTTTATTGATAAGACTCGATTGAGCTGAGGGCGACATGAGGCAGGATGAAAGCGCTTATATACGTTTCTTGGTGGACTTGTTGGGCACTTGTATAACATGGGTATAATGGAATAAGCAGATGTAATACATAGTGTTAATAAATGCAGTGTGAGTACATTAGTGATTCCGAATTTGATAAATGAGACTAACATATTTTGTAGTATCCGAGGCCAGGGAACAATAACACTAACAAAAAGATCAAAAGATTGTGTTTGTATTACAAGCGTGAAACACTGCATGTCTTATCAAAGCATCATTAATAAATCCCACCAATGAAACGTTCAATGAAATGAGATGCCTTTATACGGACTGTGTATTAAATTACGTTCCCTTCATCGGGAATACAATAGTTATTGTAGTTAACTAAAGCGTGAGCGTATTTTCATTGCCATTTCTCTCTTGTCTATTATTCCGTACCGTACTGTACTGTATTGTACTGTACTGTACTGTAACCGTACCACACTTCATATTAAAACATCACTCCTATCGCTTATAAACAAACAAATAAACACACAATCTTATTGCATTCTAAAGGAGCATATGCAAAGATCAGTACATGAGATGTTGATGACGAATGACAAATGTACGAGTAGATGCTTCGAAAGAAGGGTAATGTACTTCTTATGCATAAGCGCCACCTCCTAACAAGTTTCATGCACCATGTATGAAAAACGCAAGTCAAATAAAAAGGAGTGGGGGAGAGGATGGGAAAAAAAAAAACTCTGATGTCTCGAAAATGATTGGCCGAGTGAGTCGAACGGGTTACGAAGCAGGGGAATCACAAACATTGAAACCAATCGAAACTTTTCAATTCTTGTCTCATTGCTCTCCTTCTGTGGGACGTAGCTGATGATGTCATGCATTATTGGTTAGTGAATAAAGACAAGTTAAAGTGTATAAGACGTAATTAGACAATAAGCAGAATAAAGATTTCTTAATTACAATGGGCGGTTAACGCATACTTGGGTGGTACATAAAAATAAGTGGTTCGATACTCACATTAATATTATGAGTTTGAATATTAAATTATGGATCAGTTATTAATTGTGGAAGGGGAAGTTTACTGGAATCAAGTGTGCAACGTGATATAAATGTTCACAAAAAGGCAAATGGTAATGTGTGATCTAGTCTTGTTTACATCACCATGTTTGATCCGATGATGGCGTGTTTTGGGGGGTGTGCCACTTGGAAAGTAGTAACATCTGATTACATTCTGTACATGCACGTCGTCATACGGACGGGAAACAAAACACCCGTGTGCGATGTCCATTATCTGCTAAAATCTACTCGTTCCATAATTTTTAACTCGTGTTTAATTTACACTTAATTTTTATTAGAACTTTAGTTTATACATCATGTTTTAACGTCACATGTCATCAGAATCAACAAACATCACACACCCACGCGCGATAACTTTGCCTGATACCATGCTTTTTAATATCCAATAACGCTTTCCTGAATCGCCTCGACAATTCTCTCCCCCAATATCCAATTCATAGCAGCCAACAGTTTTGCATCCAATCCAACATAATAAATACTTTTAGGATATGCGGCCATCAATGCATTCAGTATGGCATCACTTGCTAATCCAGGAGGTGACGCATTTTCAAACAGGTCATCGCAATATCTACCAATAGCGCGGTATTGACGTTCGTACTTTTGAACCACTGTCGATTTCACGTTTTGCGGAATTTCATGATATCGGGACATGTTCGGAAAGGATGTAAATGACCGAAAGTTTTGTTGTACTTGCTGGGTAAAGCGAGTTTTTATTGCACCTAATAACCAGATAAGATCAAGTTAGAGTCATCACATATATTGTCCAACTTCGCAAACACGGCGCTCAAAAACCTTCTTCCAACCCCAAATTCCTCAATCTTCGATTCCTCTTCCCCCAAAAATCAGATCCATCAGATCAAACTCACCAGGTTCAACCAGCACGACATCTACACCCATCCCTTTCAGCTCTTGTCGCCAAATCCTACTCAGCGTCCTGATTGCCGCTTTACTGCTGGCATATACACCCATAGCCGCAGTCGAATGCCACGCGGATATGCTACCCACATTGATCACTCTCCCATTGCTTTCTCTCAACATTGGCAAGAAGATCTTGGTCAGACTAACCACGGCAAAGAAATTTGTCTCAAAACTTTCCCTAAATGCCGTCTCGGACGCAACTTCAGATGGTAAATATATCACCTGGGAGGCATTGTTAATCAAGCCAACAAAGGGTATTTTTTTTCTGCACACTGCTCTGATGGTATTGTGAAGCTTCATCACATCGGCCTTGTTGCTGACATCTGCTACCAATGGAATTAGGTTTCCGCGATATTCGTTTTCACATAATGATAACTGACGAGTCAGTTCATCGGATTCTTCCACCCTCCGAACGGTAGCAAATACCGTATATCCTCGACATGCAAGAGTCAGGGCAATGTTACAACCAAGCCCAAGAGACGTGCCTGTTACAAGCACAGCAGGATGATAGGTGGATGTGGGGATGTGCGGAGTAGAAGGTGCTGGATAACCAAAGAAATAGTGAAAGAATAGGCACAGATAGTGATTGAAAGCGTATGAGATGTAATCGAGCAAGAGCGTAGTATAGAGTAAGATTTCTTTTGTGAGATCAGATGGCCTCTTTGACATTTCTTTTTTCTTGAAAATGCGGGGCGGAATTGATTATAGTCGATATCTAATTGGTGACCAGATTGTAATTGATAAAAATGATAATTAATAAAGCAACGTTATGTTAGAAAATTGTAGTAGTGGTTAAAAAATATTAAGATGCAAGGTCTTTTCCCATCGTAAAAAAACCCCCCTTTGTGACGGAATACAATAGGAAATTAGGCCAGGTTGCAATCAATTACTTATTTTTTTTTACATGCTGCATGCATATGTATCCAAGTTTGTAGGTACACGCATTTGTACCCATGATCTTGTCATCGACACATCCCTTTTGTGCATAGCTATCGCGAGGAACTTTTATTCACAACGAGGCGCTCCTTTTGTGCATAGCAAGACTGGGGAGAGGAAAAATCGCTTGGATCAATCAGGAAAGCAAACAACAAATTGGGCGTAGATGCTGTGTACTAGTGGTACAAAGTGTGAGTATTTCAAATGTGTCCATTGTTAGACTTGCACAAAGGTGGGATTATGAAACGGTTTGCATGCCGCGGCCCTTCTTTGTTAGACTCACGACATTAACAAACGGTTTGCTCTATACCATCATTGTATATAACAATAAACTTTCGCCAACTTGTAGTCGCATGTTTCAACAATACCGGTAACTGTCCCAGTTTTCTTTCAATTCTTTTTCTTTTCATTCAAAGATTCCTTTCTGTCTTACCTGATGCCGGAGTTAATGTCAGACGAACGGTTTGTCACACGAATAAGCTGGTCATTAGATAGTGTCACGAGTGACAATAATATCCCTAATACATGATATCACGATGCAATCATCCCTAAACGGGTTTACGATTAATATCACACGATGACTGTCAATACCCCATTGAACTGATTGAGTACTCCAATCAATAAGATGCACAAGTACGGTTGAAACAAAACTCCGATGTAAAAAAAAAAAAAAGAGGATATCACAATGTCTAAAACTCAACGTGATGCAACATCAATCGACACAAACATCAACAACCCCGAAAAAGTCCGCATGAACAAATCAGCCGCCAAGTCTGTCGATCCAGATATTGTGTGCTTTTATGGAATCTTTAAAAGATATCTGAAACAGATATAAGAAATTTTAAGACACGACAGAAAATCAATTAAATGAACTTTATTTTCTTTAAAAAATTTCCCAGACTGTAATGAAAAAGCTTTAACGAATTTTTCTGCTTATTATTGGTTTCCCTTCTTCACAGATGTTGACAATGTTAAGGGGTGAGGAAAGGAGAGAAAAAGTACCCCAACACAATTCAACAAATGATAGGTTTCTGGAAACGCAGAACGTTGATTAAAAATTCTTGCGCACATTCCAAATACTTTTCATCAACCTTATTTTATAGTTTGAAAGACTAATTCTAATAACTTTTACCATACTTGATAATGCACCTACGTTTCAAATGTCACGAGTGTCTCTTATTCGTTTATGTGTAGACTGCTCGGTACGTCAACCCTGTATGCTATATAGCCAAATCGAACTGAGTGTGTCTGGGTTCAGAACTGATAAGTTACAAAGTTTCAAGTCAGTCTGTTACGGATAACTGAAAGAGTCTATATACAGTGACCCGATACGAAAGTCTATTTATTATCGACTTTTACAGGCACCATCTTTTATTTACATGTGCTCTTTATGGTCTTTTGACAAACTGGCCTTTACAGTTAATCAAGTTTTTTACTGTCAGTTAGAGACATCCAGGCTTATTTTATAATATATAATTGTATAGATAACGATTGTATATGTCTGTGAAGTGAGTTGTTATGACACAACCTTATAGTATACTGGTATCTGCAACATTTATGTCTTACTCACATTCCCAGAACAATGGTCATAGATAGGCTTATAATGACGATAATAAATCCTCTGTTGCCAAATTTATTTTAACTTGTAAACGTTGTTTTCCTTTAAGATCGTAAATGTGATAAATACTATCACTCATAACACTACCAAATTGTAGCAATGCTCCTACGAGTTAACTAAGATACATTATCGAAAGCTTTAGGAAAACTATGTGGGGTTTGAAAGCATTACATTGAGGTATAATACGTTATGTACAGACGCAACTTTGCGAAGAAAAAATTATATGAACATAAGCGGTGTAATGTCGCTAAACATTATCTGACGTCAATTTTAAGATCGTACGATTATTCGATTAGATTTCATTAATTCCTTGAGAGGCATTCGTTTTGCCGACAATACAATCATTTCAACAACATTATTTCGAAGTTATTTCTTTTTTTTCGTGAAATGAATCGAACCCTTTATATGTAATAATAGACTAACCTGTTTTATTATGGAAACAACTTACGTAAATTGTCTGATAATTAGACCGATAAAGCGTAAAACTATTTACTCAGTGAGAATGTACTCTCATTATTACGGCTGATAAGTTCAATTGATTTGTAGACGCATTTAATCTAGCTAATTACAATAAATATCAAGGCTTGGTTACCCACTAGTCCTCCCGTAGTAATCGACTTGACATATAATACTGCTCGGTAAATAAAAAAGAAAGTACTTGTCGCGTCACTTAATTTACACGCCGCATTTCTGTGGGCGTTAAAAAACCGTTTACAGCATCTGTCGCTTTCACTAGCCAAAATGTATTTTTAGAGTTGTTTATATTGTTGGCAATTAATTAATTATCGGTGACAGCAATTCCGCTAAAAGCGTCGTCGACAATACCGGGTTAATGTTACGTTGATAGCGGTTAGAAGTAAGGAAAAACCATGTTAGTACTTAATATCAGGCTCAGTCCCAGAATTGAAATTTTTGTTACCAAATTAACACGGGGACAATAAACGAGTTGGTAGCGATTTGTATATAAATGGCTTTTATCTAGTAATCGTTTAAAATATTTCTGACTTGTGATATTAAGGTTTTGTGGAGACGTAATTTTTATATTTATTATATTATAATCATTTACATCTGGTTTTAGCGGTTTGGATTATTGGTAAACATCAACAATTCATAAGTCGAACAGTAAAATAATCAATTTATAACTTCTCTCACGACAACAACTTTAGCCATGAGACGTTTGAAACCGTGTATCATGTATTAACCAGTACTAGTCAAAGAGAGAACGATTAATTGGCTCAGCCTTCTCTCGATAATTAATGCATGCTATTAGGATTTTCTAATTTATGCCTATTTAACGTTCTTGTAATCTTATTAGACAAAAAACCTGTTATGCTAATAGCAATGGATTGGGCAATTGTTAAGCTAGACAAGTTAACAAGGCTTATCGATTATGGTATTCAATAAACCTCCCAATAATTATTATACAATAAATACTGTGCATTTCGCTGTTTTTCCTATCTAGTCAATAGGCTCATTATTCGTTATTTTATGCTTATATTAGGGAACTACAATATTTTGATTTATGAATCAGATCAATTAGTATAAAAACCACTTTTGCGAAATTCCCGATGCAGACTCGCATCAGACTCAAATTTCAATATTGTGTTAGAAACAAACGCTACATGGACGAAAGTATCGAACCTAACTTTATTGATGTTCAAGAAACGAACCGATCAATACGCTTCGTGAAACCTTGGTATATCGAGATAAAGTTATTCTTTCCGTTAATCAGCTTACAGATGTATTCTTCGAAATTTAAATTATCGAAAAATTTATTAGCAATTTATATTCATTCCTCCTGTAACACTGTCTAAAGTTTCTTATGGTTTAACCAAAATTTGAACAGTTTCTAATGTTTTCTGGTTCTGACTATAAATGTTCAAGTCTGGTTATTGGCTTTTGCAATTAGGTAAAAATGTTCTGTAATCTGTTCATTAAAATCTTTC